CTGTATGTCACATTTGGCTGATGCTCAGGATGATGCTCGCTCATGCCAATGGACTGTATGGAGTGCAAGTACGAGCAACAGGATGCTGACTGCAGTTATTTTACCAGCCACCGGTGTCATTACTAATGAGTTACATATAGAACCTTTAAGAAATAAACACTAAAGACAATACCACATACAAAAATAGGCTCAGAACTTAGGTGTTATAGACACTTTCTTCTTATAAATAAGTGTTCTGACATGTCACATTAGGGGTGTTGTGATATACTGATTATTTTGATAATTAAAAATGACATATTGATATTGTCCAGGGCCTCTTGAATCTTTTGTGTTTCTTTCTATTTCTGCTTTGTGTTCAGACATAGTAGGTGGCAGAAAAGGACCTTAACACTGGTTGCCAGTTGAGAGTAATTAAATTGCTTACTTTTTCAAAATTTCTATAGATATTGTGATAATAATGTTTTCGTGAATTCCTTTTTCTTCTTTGCAGCGCTCCCATATTCCAGCAAATCGGTGTTGCTTCAGATCTGTTATTTACATTTTATTGTCACTATGTTACTCTCTGACTGTACATCCATGTGCTTGTTTGTGTCCCCTGAATTCTTAACAGTACCAGCAACTCTCTCTGGCCTGCATTTGTTACCTCTGCAGATGCATGTATGTATGTTATATATATATATATATATATATATATATATATATATACACACACATATACACACACATACACAAAACACCAGCTTTTTAATAAATGACTGCCTGTCATCAGTGTGTGGTTCTCACATTACAGCACTGTGAATTCATTAAGTGTGCCCTTTGGAAGTCTAACCAGCCAGGTGGGGTGCCGTCAACCCCCTCTGCCTCTGACTCACGCCATGCATTTCAATTGCAAATACTGTACACATCTCAGTGCCCTTGTAAAAACGACCAAAACACACACAACAGAACTTCTATTTTTTTATTTTTTTATTTTTGAGCAGTGCAAAAAGTTTAACGTACCTATGTCTGGCTAGACAGTAGTGTTAAAACATGTTTTTCTGTCTAACCCTCAGTCCTGGAGATTTTTGTACACTCTGTCTCCTTCTTAAGATACTCTTTGAGTAGTTCTCTGCTTCCTTCACCCTCATGAGCAGTTTCAGGTTTTTTTGTGCAGCAGGAAAAAACATAAGACTGAGATTGCAGCCTGAGATGTGGATCCTGGTTAGTTTAATCACCCACGATTTATTCAAAATCTGGAATTATTTTAATCGCACAGAGATTTGGGTGCATTTTGAATCGGATTAGTGTGTGTTTTTCTGAGGATAGATGAGATTCTACAAGTTGACGTCTGACTCTGTGTCCATGCATTCCTTCATCCATTATGTATCACACTGGTCTGGCCCTCAGGTTTTCTAGGGATGCTACTGTACAGTAGCTGACTGGGTTTGCAGTGATGGGATTAGGCCTAATAGAAAGTCAGGTCAGAGTAGGCCACAGTTTGCATTAATTGTTTACCTGAGCAATGACAGTCCAAAGTGACCAGAGACAGTCTTACTGAGTCATCACTAGTTTATGTGTAAGTGTGTAGAGGGGAGAGGGGAGGGGTTAGAGGCTGTTGTGGACTGGCAGGGCTAAATCTAAATCCTCCTCTTTTCCGTCAATAATTCTCTGCTTTTTCACAGCCCCTCTAATCCTCTTTCTGACGTGACTCACCTCTGTTTATCACCAGAGTGCGCACATGCCTCAAACAATAAGGCAATAGTTGTCTTACAGTCTGTTTCTGTATGCGTATGTTGTGCATGTGAAAGTGTGCCTCTCAATCTGTACTGATCTTGATCTTCAGCTTGATAAACATTCTTGCCTGTGTGCGTGTTTTTTGTGCTGTCTTCGCATGACAACTTCTAAGTTATGATATTATGAGCTCCAAATTCAATCTTTGTCCAAAATAAGCATCAGCATCAGATCCGCAGCCGACTAGTGTGAAGTCGTGCTGCTGTGAAAATGTAATAAAGCATAGAGATAATCACTGCTTAAGTTTGAATAATGGCTCCGTATAATGGATCTGTGCTACACCACTGTGAGATTATGCATGATGCTGGCCAGGCAGGCAGCCCCGCTGGTGCTGCTGCTGACTCAGTGCAAGCATAGCTGAGGCTTGGGGGGTTAATGCAGCAGGGCCACGGGCTGATCCACAGCCCATCCTCATCTGCCAAAACTTCAAAGGATGCTCTGACAGAGTCTAAATCGCCATCTCCTCCGGTCCAGGCTCTGCAGAACACTTCCCCTCCCCCTCAGTGCACAGGTCAAACTCGACCTCATCTTTTATGTATCGTTACCTCATTGATTGTGCTCTAAGAGATTCATGAATACAGAGGGACCTATTTCCGTATCACTCCCCATCATATGGAGGCTTTTTTTTTACAAGGGGGGAAATTTGGTCTTGTTTGTACAGCTCTCATTTTTTTTCCCTCCCATTCTTTCCTCTGTTTTCTGTTTCTGTTTCCCGTCATTTTTCATTCTCGTCTTATACCTATCTTTCACTGCGACTTTCGACTTCCACTTATTTTGCATAGAAGGTCACAATCATTTCCCATTTAGACAGACCTTTATTTTCTTTTTTTGGTATTTATTGTTCACTCATGAATTATTCAGTTTGCAGATAGTGAATACAGTGAATTTGAGAACTGCAGTTACTTACAGGAAGCTGAAGACAAACAACTTCCTCAAGTGAAATCTGGACACATGTAGCTGCTCTAGTCTGCTTAGACTGAACTAAATAAAAGGCTACTGGTCCATGCATGCTAGCTGTTACACCACAATGAAGACCCTTCCTAATCCCTGGCTCTGATTGGATAGACTCAAAAAATGAATTAAAGATTATAATAAAGGTTTAATCTCATTTTTGATTTGTGTGTGTATGTGCCTGCTGTTTGAAAGTTGACACAGCTAGGAAATTGACATTGGGCCTGCTTTACTTATGCATCTTATAGTACTCTCACTGAGAGAAGTTACATTGTTACTCTGAAAGCTGTATTAGCATGCCAGCGGCATGTCTCATGTATTCATTTATGTTCATCCATGGTTGTTTACTCATTCATGAATACATATGTTGATCCATTTTTTAACACCCCCCTCCCCCTTTTTTCTGTACCTGTTTTTAAGTGATGTGTGTGTTATGCACCCCAGCAGAGTGTGAAATTGAAATTCCACCCTGCTGAGGTGACGTGATTGACAGAGAGGAGAGGACATATGAGATGTGAAATCATATCTTTTACTGAAGCTGTTTTAAATTTTTTTCACTTGTAACTATGAATCAGCTCATTTAAAAACAGTTTTACCACTCTTGCTAATGTTTATATCACCTAAGTATCATGTGTTCACAGTAAAGTATTAAATAATGGTATGAAAAAATGATTTGCTTCCTAAATATTCGTCAGACTGTGAGTGACCTTGGGATTATAAGGTTTTATCTGTAATCTGAGATGCACACCCTAGTTGGTAAAACTGCATGCAGTGTAGACCTATATTATTCTTCAAAATAACAGGCATCATAGAGGTAAAGTTCAGTATAAAAAATGTCGAAGGACATTTTTAAATGAGGTTTATAGATCAGGTGAGTTGCAGATAGAACCTTCTAATACTGAGAACTCATTTAGCACCAGCTCTCAGAGGTAGCATCAGGTCACCAAAATGTTCAATAATTCAACAGCTAGAAACCTGAGTTTATCCCAGATTCCTACATATTAAAAGTTTGAAACGTTTTTATTTCACATTAAAGGATAATGTGTTCAGAAAACTAAAACCACAAAATGTTAAGAAATTGTCAAAACTAGTTTAATGTAATTAGATAATTTTCTCTTTTCTCCACTAGCTTTGCATGAACTTTACATTGCAAGACTTTTTGGTTTTATTGGTATCCCTGCCTGCATCCTTGACATTTGAAAAGGACCTGAAGCCCCCCTGGAGTATCAGTGCCCTCCCTCTGACCTTGTGTGTGTGTGTGTGTGTGTGTGTGTGTGTGTGTGTGTGTGTGTGTGTGTGTGTGTGTGTGTGTGTGCGCACGCGCAACCTGTCCCAACTAAGTCCCACCTGGCGCGCGTTGGATAGACCACCATCTGTTCCGTGCCCCCACATTGAACTACCTGCCACCTCCTCTTCATCACCTTCATGGGATATCAGGAAATTGATGCTTTCTAGAAAACTAATTTGCAAACTCTCAAAAGCACAATGATGAATCTCGTTTGATAGGTTATTACGCGGGATAATTATATAAGATGTGTCTCAGAGCTAAATGTTTCTTACATAAGCCTTTTCTTGTGAGAAAAATCTTTAATAAAATGACAGGCCACTACCATGTGCTTTAAGAAATGGGAGCAGAGTGCTGGTGATCTGCTTTATTGTAAAGCGGAGTGAGTCATTGCCCTGAGACAAAAGACTGGTTTCACCCTCCCTCAAAAAACCTCAAGGACTTAACATGCTAGATTTAAAGATGCTCAAACAGGCTTAAAATGAATTTCCTCCTGTTATCTCTTATTTTTTCTTGCCGGCAATGCATTCTCCACGTCCCCTCCCTCCTTTTCGTGCTGTTTTCCTGAGATGTTGCTTCCCAAAAGACAGGGTTTAGGATCTAAACCAACATGTTGGTGCTGTGATTTTACAGCCAAACAAAACTGGGCTTAGCTGATTATGCATACAGCCATTTTAATGTCTTTTAATCCACCCTCTCTGGTCAATGAAGATCAAAGTTTTCTATTTTCTTCTGGGGTCTAAAAGCAGGAAGAGTTTGTATATTTCTTTTTTTCTTTTCCTTCCAAAGTATAATTGCGCTGTCCAACATCCCCCAGCATTTCAGCGGTAATTGCAACACTGAAGTGAGTCTGGAAAAAAAGCACAGGGAGCAACAGCACAGCATGTGCACATGGCACATGGGCCAGCACACTTAGCCACCAGGGCACCAGGAGTGTTTTGATATGTTTTGATGAATTCTCAACCATGGTCTTTGTCTTGTTATTCACTTCAAGGTGGAGAAATGTGCATGCACGGAGGACGAGGAGCCTGGAATTAAGCACAGGAGAGAAAAGATGCCGAAGATGAGACGATAAAGAACGTGAGTAACACTTTACACTGGATCATTATACTGCCTACAGTGCTGCTTTAAGTAGCTTTGGATGCAACTTTTATTGATGCACAGGTCACTGAGTGCTTGTAAAGTGAGTTTCACAGAGGTAAAGCAGTACATAAAGTAAAACCTTAAAATATATTATCAACTATGTTTAGACTGCCTCTGAATGCTGTCCATTTTCACACCTGCACACAATTCACCTTTGACCTTTTGAATACAGCCCTCTATGAGCCAGCTATAACCTTTTAGTGCACATCTGTAAACATATCTGTCAGGGCTGATAGCCTATCCTCGATAGCAGCAAAAATGAGACAGAAATAGACACACAATGAGCAGACAGTGACAGAGGGTTGAATGGCAGGAAAAAAGGGGGATAGCAGAAAGATGCAGACAAACAGACAAAATGAAAGTGGTTTCACAGAGGCTGTTTGGATAAAATGTTTTTTTTCCTGTTGGTGTAATATTAAGTGGTGACGGAACAGATGGCGTTGGTGAGATAAACAGTTTAAAAAGTGTGTAAAAGTGCTTAATAGCAAGTAAAAGTGCTGAACATGTTCACATTACTGTGCAAAGCATAAGTCAAAGCACTCTAGCTATGTTGTGCAGACGGTGAACAAGATGAAGGGCAAAGGATTTTTTAATTTTTTCTGTCATAGAACACAATCTGACATCATAATCATCGTTTTACTATTTTCACTTGCTGATGGATGCTGCGTGGTACACTAGTGATATACCATGTTCATCTAAACAGAAATATAAAGGCACTTTACCTAGCTCCAGTTTGTGTCTGCCATGTATTATCATTCCAATCCAAATAGACACAGACTATAAAGTGTTAATATTTTGTTTCTATTTTACAAAAAGAACAAAGACGTGTCAATTATGGCTACCTGAATTAGGAAATAAAGTAATTAGTGTGTGTGTGTGTGTGTGTGTGTGTGTGTGTGTGTGTGTGTGTGTGTCTGTGTTTGTGTGTGTGTGTGCAGTAGATGGAATATTTTTTTCTTCCAGATGGTTGAAGAGTCTTTAATGATTCTAGAAATGTGTTTCGCTGTTCGACAGTATTCTGGGTTTTTCAAAGATTGCTGGGTATTTATCGCCTTTCCTAACTCTGTTACTCACATGTAATGATAATACATGAGAGGCACAGAGGGCTCAGGCCTGACCATGCTGTTTGCACTGTAACTGGAGCAAATACGTTATTATTATGATCAACAGAGTACTTGCTTTGTGATTGGAGTCTCTTACACATTTCTTATACATGCAACCATTTTTTTAAGTACTTTTTAATTCATTTAGTAATAAAAAATGATCTAATCTAAGGTAAACCTATTAAAATACAATATGTTGGAGATGTAATCTTATGGTCACTTGTTTGTTTGTCATTTGTTTGTTCGTCAGACATCTCAAAAAGTGTGTCAGTCTGCTTGGACAATGAACTGATTTGTGTACATACTTATTGTGAACTATAATGCAATATACTTGCAGGAAATAATTCAGAAACAGCAACTGCAGTTGAATTAGGATGGAAATAGTGCATCGTCATTTGGTTAATATATAATCACACACAGGATCCCATCTCAGGCTCAGCACTTGTAGACGAGCCAACCCTGAACCCTAAGGCCTGGGGCCACTGCCAAAAAGCTGGATTTACAGCGAGCACAGCTTACCGTTTGAAAACGTATCATTGCACTGAGTCATGTCATCATCGAAGGCTATTTAAAAATAAGTAATGTGGTTTACAAACAGACTGTGTTCTGTATCCCAGGGAAGCTCGGAGAGAGGGGGAAGGCTTCAGCAGGCAGTGGGATAAACAGGTTGATCGCTGAGGCTGTATCACAAAATTCCCGCTGTGCAGCCACACTCTGCAATTTAACAATTTTTTTCAAATACCGAAATCTTGATGTTATCCTGTGCAAACAACATTTTGGATTTTCAACATCAAGCGGTTTTCTGTGGAGTGTGTTTATTGAGATTAGGTAGGAAATGAGTGTGTAATTAGAGACGATCAGATGAGGTAAGTCTTGGCCAGTGGGGAGAGAGCCATGGCGCTGATACTGGCGATCACAGCAGAACAGAACGGACACAAGGCAAGGGAAAAGATAGAAAAGGAACAATCAAAGAATGGAGAAGGGTTGTAGGTCAGTTAGAGAGGGAAAAGAGGAGAGTGTTTTTGGATGGTACAGAGAGGAGAAAAAGGAAAGGTAATTGTGATACCACTCTGAACTGACTGGATATCCAGCTGGACATTACATACACTACTGATAGTGTGGAAATGTGTGAGAGCTTCTCCTCATACCACACTCACTCAAAGGTGCTTGTCACCAATACTCAAAGATTAACAATAAACTGCCTGGACTGAGCTAATCTACTGTAGTCAGCGTGCAAGTAACACAGTTGTTCGGAGCTTTGAGGCAAGGTGTTATTCATTTCTTCATTTCTTCCACTGCCGGAAATCAAAGAAGAGGTTCATTGAAAACATACATTGGCATAAGTACAGTGCAGTAGATTATACATAATCAATTTTAAGCCTAATAATTATAAAAGTTTAAGTTTAAGGAATAGTAATCACAAACATTTATTAATCCATCCAAGCTTTCAGCAACTGTATAAATGGTTCAGTGTTTTAAAATGCTTTTCTGATTAAGGTATTAATGAGGTCTTAATATATTTTAATGTAGAGCACTGGGAAACACTCAGCTAGAACTTCTTTATCTTTGAGCCTCCCCAGTTCATTAATTCATAATAACACATTTGCAAACTAAATTTAAAGTCCTTTTTCTATCTTTCAAAGACTAATTTCAGATTATATCTCTTTGTTGCAGAAATGAGATTCCTCAACCGTAGTTCACATCTTGAGTGTTTCCCATGATAACATCTTAAATTCAAAACGTTAATGTTATTTAACATTGTGTGTCACCTCAGTATACTAGTAAGTTGAAAGCTCTTATCTGTGTGTACCTGAGCAAATTATGAAATGGGAAGCTAATTTAAACTTGCTCAATGAGCGGCACATTTCACAGTTCATTTGGCCGTTCATGAAACACTCAACAGCAATCACCTTTACACCCTCAGTGCTTGCAATGATTCTTATTCCAACACTTAACAGTGCTGGGGCAGCCAATGAAAGACATTTATTGGATGTACTTTTTAGCACACTGTAAGAAACTGCAACTTCCTGATCAAATTATCATGAATAAGTTATTATTTCCATGAAAATGCTAAATATTCAACCTTGCACTTGAGACAAACCTACTTTATTCCCTCTCAGCTGAATACTAGATAAGCTTTCAAAATTAGCAAGTCATTTAGTGCTTTAAATACTGAAAATATGACTAACATTCACTTTTACTTGACCTGTGTAATCTTTAGTCTCCATGGAAAGCCTGCCTATAATATCCCCCTCTATAATAGCCTGTAAAGTGTTGCTTTTAATTTTCTGTTTCCACGCACATTCAGTGTTGACCTTTAAAACAAAAGAACAGAACATTCTTCTTTCAAGAATATTGTTGAAACAGTGGGAAATCACTGATTTATGAAATCATGTTTCTCTATGTTTTTATATATGTAAATATTGATTTAATTGACCATGGATGCACAAATAACACGTAATATCTTAAAATGAGAATTATTTTGCTTTTAGGATATTGGCTCATACAATTCTGGCCAGCCGGAGTGAATCATAAGCAAAGGAGAGTTAATTAGAGGCAGACATGATGCATCTAAAAACAACTTGTATGTTGCACTAGCTTTGTGGTGCATTACTCAAATTCTAATCTCATGTCTGTCTCTTTCTTGATGTCTTTCTCTTTCATTCTGTGCTCTTACATTTTAATGCAGTGTTATTTATTATGGATGTTGCTGAACGTCGGCCCCTGAATGACATAACATGTTGACCCGTTCTGTGAACGGAAAACAGCCAATGAATTCCTGCTGAAGGGAGACAGTCTCAGTAATCTGAGTTTTGCAACAAGGCCCGAGTCTTGAGTCTTTGATAGATGCTGGCTAAACCTGGGTTGACAGGCGACATAATTGAGTCCATTTTGATGACATAAGCCTTGCTGATTTCATTTAGTTGGGAATTTTCATGTCCTTTCCGTGTCGCTGAGTTTTGATGTGAGGTCAGCTGGGAGCTAGCCGCTAACCGTCAGCACACAGCGCTCACCTGGTCTGACACCTGCTCTCTGTGCAGGCAGCATGTTTGGTTGAGGCTCAAATCTCCACAGTGTACAGGGAGAGCTGGAATTATGCCTCCTAGCCTCTCTGCGTGTGTGTTTGTATGCATCTGTATTTGTGATTGCTTTCCTTGTGTATGTGTGTGTCGCATTGAATATGCGTCCACCAGCACTCATGCGAGAAGACAGCGGGTTAGACCCCCCATCCCCATCCCCCACCCCTCTTGCTCAGTTGGATCTCACTCCGAGATCTGTCAGGCGTCTGTTGACGTGTCCTCAATGTGACATGCCACCCACAGTGAAGGAGAGGCACAAATCATCCAGCTTTTTCTCGTCACTTTACCCGAGTACCTCCCATAACCAGCCTGTGACCCTTGCCCGCAGAAGTTAAGCAGATAGCCTCGTATTAGTCTTAGAGAAGGAGTCGAGGTAATCTCATCAAAATGTTTCAGTTGGTCGTCAGCCCATTGCATAAAGTGTTTCCCCAAAAGAAATAGATGGCTAAATCTGCTTTTGCTTTTTTTCCCCCAGTTGTGTTGACTTTTTTTTCAGCAAGCTTAATTATATTTTGAGCTGTAGGGAGTTATTTCATTACAGCATTGTATCCAAATCACAAATGATTGTTTAGCATTTTGTTAATACAATATTTAATCTTTATTTAGCACATATGTTTAATAAAAGTTAATAAATAGTTTGTTAAAGGATAGTAGTAGGTATTTAGACCACATCAGCTAAACGCATATTAACACATTAGCTGTGTGCACTTAAGGTCAGCTCTGTTTCCTGACATGTAATTAACTGTAGAATCAG